GGATGAGTTCGTGTATACAGAATCACAAAATTTTTGATTGCATAAAGTAATGAGTGATAGATCAAAATTTTTATAATAATAGTAATTATGCATTTGTTCGCCGAAATGAGCAACAATATTTAACCAGAGTTTTTTCCAAATTAGACAAAGCGTTGTAAGAAATTCGATCATGGATTCTTATATGTAGCATCGTATGATGATGTATTAGTCGATATCCGATAGCGAAAACTTGATATTTCAACCAACCATCTTACGTATCACTTTATGTGCATAATCAGCACAATACAAAAAAAAAAATTTTTCTTTAACTCAAACATACACGAACAACGAAACGGTTATAGTTATACAAGCATGTACCGTATTTAATGCTCACGGGTGTACTTTTACAAGTTACTGTACGTAAATCTCTTCTTATTTTCCAAATCACAATTAAGTTTACTCGTTATGACCTAGAATGTTTCTTGATACATATACTTCCTTCAACCATTTTCTTTTCTACTTAATAACAATTAAATCGGTTTTTACTGACTTACGGTGTAAAATCTTTGTAGACTGTGTCCAGTGTTAGGCTCGTCTACTGTCTTTCTTAGTTTTATGTTAAACCTTGTAATTTTTGGGTCTCCATTTATACTTGTCGCGCTTTTATTCCCTTTTTTTTTTTGTTTTTTTTTACGCACTTGTATGGTTTTTTCCGTTTATATTTTACTTGAAAACAATTGTAAAATATCACGAAAACAAAACCGGTGTTCGACTTTTTTTTTTTCTTATTTCAAAAAAACTTTTTTTCTTTTTTTTTTTTTTTTTTTGCAACATTCTGTAAGCCTGTTATTATACGATTTTTATTTGAATCATAGGGTCGTCTTGGTTGTTATTACGATAGGTAAACTCGCGTTTGATTATGACACTTGTATAACTTTTTGACTCTTATTTGTTCCCTAGTTGATTTTTATTTTTTTATATCACCACGAAAAAATCCTTCGGCTTTTAAGATTAAAGGGGAAGAAAATTTCATTTATTAAAAAAATTCATCTGTATATAATGACAATTAAGGGCAGACAACTATTTGTTGGCAACGTGAGTGTTTGTATTAAAATGATCATGAATACTACTTACATTACAAATATATTTAATATTTCATGGAACGAATTACGAATTACTATTGATTGATTGTTTATGTACATCACAAAGCTCCCATTTGTAGGTTAGTAAAATGTTCATTATACGGACTAATGAATTTCACTAAATCAATCATTTATTTTTACTTGTTAATAATAATAATAATAATAATAATAAATATTAATATTATTTTATTACTATCATAATTCACAAACGTAAAGTGGGTTGGCAAGATTTAAAGGCAAATATCTATTCAAAAAATTTTTTTTTTTGTTCTTTGACGCGGAATTATAATGTCACACATGATTAATTATATTCGGATAATTTTTTTACAGGATTTATTTAGATCGGCTGGGAATGTGCAACGTGCAAACATAATGCAAGGCCGCGACGGTCGGTCAAAGGGACATGGTATTGTGCTCTATGCGACCGTAGCTGATGCGAAAAATGCAATTTGTATGAAATTTCTCTTATAAAATTATATGAAAATATGAAAATTATGATATGTGATAAATGTGATCAAAATAATTAAATGAGTTATATTATATTAGTTTATAATTTATTTTATTAATTTTTATTTTTAAATTATTATTTAGCGACATTTGACGGTTATGAATGGCATGGAAGAAGATTAGAAGTTAGAGAAGTATGTAATCTGATTGATCTTTTTTTT